GTAGAGGGCAAAAGAACATGACACATGATAAATGACTAAAGGGTATAAATACATAATTTTTCTAGCACTTTGAATATTATTAAGTGGGAAATATGCCTACTATTCTTGAGAAATGCAAAATCATTTTGGATTTACATCCGTTCAAGAATGATTTAAAGTAGAGAGAAATTATTTTTAGACAATTATATCCATTAGTCGTTTATCAAGTGCCTAATGAGTGTCATTTTGACATCTAAGTAGACGATTTTTGTTGAGATGGAATGCATAATATTAAAAGGTTGAGGTCGCCCAAACAGAAGGTGGCAACATTGAATGGGACAAATGAAAAGGTTGGGGGACCTCTTGAGGAATCTGGCGTAAAATTAATCAAGACTGGTGGAGGATCGTGCGTTGCACTATCACTATTATAATATTGAAAGGAAATTTGTTAAAAAAGACAAACTATTTTAAAACATCTAAATATTTAGTTATGTACATTAATTAATGTATTTTTATATTAAGTTAGAACATCAAAACATTGTTGTTTTATGGTTTATATTTTTTTTATCTTAAAAATACGACTATGCATGATATCATATATTTTAATATTGCAACAATGAAGATTCATAGAAGTTAAACGATTTTGAATATGATCTATTTCATATCTGATTTGAAACATTAGTTTTTTAAATATCGTTATTTAATAGAAAATATGATGTCCATTTCAACACACCGATCTAAAAGCAAAAAATAAATAAATCATAGAATGTATCATTTAACAAAAAGGGGGTCACAACCAATTGCCCTATAGGTTTTAGATTACAGACACATGAGCCAAAAGGGAAAAAATTCAAAAAATTAAAATGAGTAGAAAATAAAATGGGCCCAATATATACCGTTCGTCTTTTTACACGAATAATGCAAAATAGAAAATCTTTCTAGGAAAAAAATCACATATATATTATATTATCCAATCATTTGACAAATACACCACACAAAGTTCAATAAATCCATGCGATTTGAAATTACAGAACATAAACTAAATATAAAATAATTTAAGAAATTACGTTCAATAAAAGAATAAGCCCCTGTTTGTTTCCAATTATTTCAACAAGAAAATGCTATTTTTGACCCTTTTTTAAAAAAAATTGCGATCCACTGTGACACAAAGTGGTCAAATATTGTGGCTCACCATTACAAGCAACAGTACAAATTTTGCTTTTCATTGGAAACAAACAGGGGCTAAACCAGTAATCAAACAATTGACGAAAACTATTAAAAGGTGACAGAATGTAATGCAAATGAAACTGCAGTGTTGAAACATGTAGAGGGGATTTTGTTCTTGGGTTCTTGTAAAGTAATTAGAAATAGCTTGTACTACTATAGAGTGGCATTTTGTATTATAGAGCACTTCACACATGAGCTCAACTTGGGAAAATCCTCACGACGCTGTAAAATTGATTGTTACCATTAGTTAAGGAAGTTGGAGACATGCAGCACAGTGTAAAATCAAAAGCTATACTTAGTGGAGCTCTAAAGAGATAAGAATTTAAAAAAAAAAAAAAACAAGAAGCACTCGTGAAAATCAAAAAGAAAATGTTAAAGAAACTAAAAAAGTAAATATGTTGATTGGAATGTCAGTTAAGTACCAATTTTTGAAACATTTCCAATTCTTTATTGAAATCGGCACAAAAATGATAACTGAAAAGTATAAAAGAAGTCAAAGGTTGAACTCAAGAAAATTAAAAAATACCTCAAGGTATTCCTATGAGTAGTGGGTATCTAAATCAACAGCTGCCCTTTGCTCAGGATTTTTTGCTCTCGAGAAATATTAGAAATCGTGTCTTCATATATTAGGTTTTTCCCCTTTTACATTTTTTACCTTTACTTAGTTATTAGTTTGTTTTATTTTCCCTCCAAGCTCGTGGCTCTTTTGATTTCAATATGATATTAGAGCAACTCTGAATTTTGAAATCATTGAAGAATCTTCTTCTGTTCTGCTGATATGGATTCAGCAAATAATCAAATCAACACATCTGTGAGTTCATCCCTGAGAAAATCAGCAATCGATGAACCATCTAGCCCTTTTTATCTTCACCATTCATATAATCCTGGATTGCTATTGGTGTCGCAGCTTCTCACTGGGGAAATCTATGCTTCATGGAATCGGGCAATGATAATTGCTCTTTCAGTGAAGAATAAGGTCCCATCCATTGATGGATTTATGGAGAAACTAGATGAATCGAATCTAGAATTGATTAATTCGTGGCTCAGAAACAATAACATTGTTATGTCTTGGATACTGAATTCAATCTTAAAGGAGATCTCGGCTAGTATCATTTATGCATCCACAGCTCATGAGATTTGGAATGATCTCAAGGAGAGATTTCAACAAAGTAACGGACCGCGAATTTTTTCATTAAGAAAGGATCTGTTGAATTTGAACTCAATATCAAAATTCTATCAGTGTTTATTTCACAAAACTGAAGACCGTATGGGAAGAGTTAATCAATTTTAGGCCTAATTGCAATTGTGGAAAATGCACATGTGGAAGAGTTCTGGAAATGAACAAATATCACCAACTGGAGTATATCGTGTCTTTTTTTATGAGATTGAATGAGTCCTTTTCTCAAGCTAGGGGACAGATTTTACTGATGGATCTTATACCTCCTATTAACAAGGTTTTTGCCCTCATGGTACAGGAGGAGAATCAGAGAAAGATGAGCACACAAACATTAGGAGCTGACAATATGTCTACTGGTGCATTTGCAGCATTCTCTATTAGATCTGATGTTATGAAGCCGGTGATGAATCATAGTCCCAGAAATGATGGATCTAAATATGGAAATGCATCTAACTTCAAGAGAAAGGATAAGCCATATTGTATTCATTGTAAGTTCCATGGACACTCTGTTGATAAATGTCATAAAATCCGTGGATACCCCCAGGATTCAAACTGAGACCTAGAGAAAATGTTCGAGGTTACTATGCAAATAATCATGTCAATCAATTTTCCACTAATCAGCATATGGACCAGCCTAATGTCGGGGATTTCATTCAAAATCTGAAATCAAATCAGTATCAATAGCTAATGAATATATTATCAAATCATTTGGAACCACATTCAAATATTGATTCAGCTGGATTGGATAAACAGCAGACCACAGGAACTACAGATATTTGTTATTCCATATATGTTGATCCTATTTTTGCCACTAAGGAAGTTTGGATAGTAGACACAGGAGCTACCAAACATGTCTGTTGTAATGCTGAAGCATTTATGACCATGAGATCAATTGAAAATGCTAGTATTACTTTGCCAAATCACTCCACAATTATTGTCGATCTATGTGGTGAAATCAAGCTAAGTCCTAATCTAATATTGTATGATGTCTTATACGTGCCTCGGTTCAAGTTCAATTTCCTATCAGTTAGTGTATTGGCTGTTGACTCTTAACTTACATTACACTTCTCTTGGGGCCAATATCAAATATAGGAGAGTGTCACCATGAAGATGATTGGCAGGCGTAGTAGTATTCAAGGGTTATATGTTCTTGACACTAGAAATTTCGATTGTGTTTACAATAATTGTTGGCAATGTGTCTGCCCATGTACAGCATAATGGACTTGGGCATTTGTCTTTTAAGAGGTTAGATGTTTTGATGAACCGAGTATCCTGTAATACTTCAGAAATGAATAGACATCTGCCTTGTTATATTTGTCCAATAGCTAAACAAAGAAGACTATCCTTTGGAGACCATACCATACATCATCACATACGGACATAAATATTTCTTGACTTTAGTGGATGACTGTTCCAGATTTACCTGGATTTACATGTTGCATCTCGAAGGTAGAAGCTGCTACAATCCGATTTTTTAACATGGTTACCACACAATTTGATACCAAAATTAAGTGTTTTAGATCGACAATGCACAAGAATTGGCATGTAAACAATTTTTTGCTAATAAAGGATTGTACATCAGTTCAGTTATATGGAGAGGCCCCAACAAAACTCTGTTGTAAAAAGGAAACGTCAACATTTATTAAATGTTGCTCGAGCCTTTTTCAGTCTAGAATTCCCATTCGTTACTGGTCTGAATGCGTATTAACAACTACTTATCTCATTAATAGAAACCCATATCCCATTTTAAAGCACAAAACTACTTATGAAGTTTTATATGACAAGCCTGCTGATTATTCATTTCTTCAAGTCTTTGGTTGCTTGAGTTTTGCTTCAACTCTGGCTGCACATAGGAACAAATTCCAACCTCGTGCCAGATTATGTGTATTCCTAGGATATCCCTCAGGAGTTAAGGGATTCAAATTGCTTGATGTTGCTTCTAGAAAAAGATTCATTTCCAGGGATGTTGTGTTTCATGAAGAAACTTTCCCTTTTCATGCCATAGTGCAGTCTGATGAATTGCTTGATCCTTTTCCAAATTTGGTATTACCTTATCCCAAATCTATCCACACCTCTTGAGTCTCTTGATAGACCTGTTGCAACCAATCTACTCTTCACTATCAGCAAACAAACACTCAAAATGCTATCACCTCTTCTCCTTCTATTGAATCACACATTCCTGAATTACCAAATGACTTACACTGCATCAGCACATCCAATCTTGAAGTTCGCAAATCTACAAGATCTTTTAGACCTCCCAAATACTTTCATGATTACCATTGTAATCTGATGTCTCATATTGATTCTACTATATCTCATTCTCCTTATCACATTGGAAAATTTGTCTTCTATAAAAACCTTTCCAGCCCTTACAAATATTTTGCTTTATCTATCTCCTCACATTTTGAACCACAAATTTTCCATCAAGATGTCAAGTTTCCTCATTGG